CAGGATTTTTTTGTTGTTGAGTAGAATACTACATTTCATTTGGATGCAACACTTAATTTTCATGATCATGCAAGAAAAGCAAAGGAAGACCCACTCTTGAACACACTTTCATCTGTTGATAATTCTGAGAGGTTGGATGTTTGACCTGCTACTGTTTTTCCCGCTCAGGAATTTATGCAAAGTGGAACAGGACCAGTAGAAAGGATTGAAACTTTTCCTATGGTGTTCTTGGTCACTTTTCAATGTGTGTTTCAATCTTTTTCAGCCGGAAGAGGGAACTGAATCCTAGTTTCCTACTTCCAGAATCAGTACTTAACTCCCAGGCCAATAAAAGTAAACAGATGTTATGAAGTAAGGCAACTTCATATTATTTCCCCACCAAAATTATTCAGCAAATTCCATTAAAATTCATATGCAGTTGTAGGTAAGCAAATGATCAGCAGTGAAACAACAAACAAAAAATGCTACTATTAAATCTATCTAACTTATTAAGAAGCCACAATCCTGATTTTAAGCTGCTTCTTATTCCATGAAGTTATCTTGCTGGACATGAGATATTTAAAACCATGAAAGCTGTAACTAATCCAAAGCCTACAAAACATTTAGGAGGAATGCTAAGATTTACACTTCTACATGAGACTCTTTTTACTATGGCTGCTGTCAGCCTATATAGTCTCCAAGGAAGGTAGATTTTCTCTTTGTTCTGTGCTACAGCAAGTTTAGACACTTGACAGAACTTACACTACACTTCCCCTAACACTGTCACGATTTTCTCCAAGGTGACCCTTCAATTCTGCAGTTTCTGCAGGCAGCAGCATAAGATCTCATCTAACCCTCTTCTGCTGAAGAAACATCCTTTTCCGCTTGTCATCTGCCTACGATTCTGTTCCAAATACTCAACCTCAAGAGCAGGAATATCTCTTGATACTAAGAAAATTTGGGGCACTGGGGACTCTGTGAAGTAGATAAACTGTCTGGTAGCACAAGGACTGAAAAAGTTTGAGATACCAAAATACAGGGCTGTAAGAGTAGTGCTGGGGCACTACTAACTTACTCTTAGTTTCATGCCCAATTGCTGGTGAAGACCATGTGTGTTCCATCAAGTCTAGAGGAAGAGCTTTTTCTATGGAGCCAAACCCTTGTGCAGGTGTGTCCTAGGTGAGCCTCTTCGAAATGTGCTACTGCTCCGTGATGGCCTATGGAGGAAGAGCATCAGAAGGTGAAGATGCGACAACCCCCAGCAACCGCTCAGAACACTGGGGCAGGCAGGTTCTGAGCCCCACACCAGTAACACGGGCTTAGGGAAGTCTGGTGTTGGGCAGAGGATATGTCTGCATCTAGTGCATTGCTTCAGTCCAAGAGGAGTAACTCAATTTAGGCTGCCTGTCTGTCAATACCACAGCTCTGTTGGAGGCCTCAAAGCTTTCTGGAGAACCTATAGCTGGCAGTGTCCTCCCACACGGCATCCTTAGGCATGTACTCATCTCATAAAGCTGAGACAGATTAAATAACAGACCACACAGCCTGCAGCCTACGAAGACTGGATTGTCACTATTTCTGACTTCATATTTGCCTGCATATCAAAAGCCAATGAAAACCATATCTTCCCTTTGTGTTTCCTCTCCACCCCTCCTTCCTTTATTCCTTTTGCCATGAAGCTGAGTTATTTGGAGACAAACTAATTCTGAGGCAGACTTTTACATAATGCCTGTATTAAAAGCTATTTAAATACCACTTAAAGCCAGTTTATAGGATAGTTGCAGATGATTCGTGGAAATAACTTCTTTTCAAGGCTGCTGGATTCCCATTGTTAGTGCAATATAATTTTCAAATCTTTTAAATAAAAAATCAATTGTCCCATTTCTTCCGCACACCAATTGTTCCCTGTTTTAAAGGGAATAATTTAAGCTGTTTTTCATCAAAAGTCTTATTATTTTCTCCACTCTTAAGAAAATCTGTCAAGAACAGGCAATTTCAATAGAACCTAAGTACAGCTCTTGTCCTCCAAATAGAAAGTCCTACTGATTGCTGTTGAAACACTAAGGTTACTTTACTAATATCTCCATTTTGTTTGTATAGTCTCCCATCTACCTAAAAGACTTACATAAAAATAAACACCACAGACAATCGTCCACTTGACTTCCCGATAGCTCTGTATAGACCAGTTACGCTGCTCTGGAAAAAACAGGTGGGTTTTCACTGTTAGAAAAGCAGTTAGGTCTTTTTTTCAAGCACCTGTAGATGTGGGGGCTGCAAGAATAATTTAGTTCAGTATTCCCATGCTGGAATAACAAGATTGAAGGCACAGAGTTATTGTGGCCAAAACATTTGGTGTTCATTTATTTGCTAAAGATTCTCCCATGCTTCAATATAGCTGTATCCACGGAAACGCACGCCACCAAAAATCGCTGTATTTGGATGAGTTTTCTAGTCAAGATTAATTAGGTTTTCTTCCACACACAGAGCACAGCCAGCAATGCAATGTGGCACTTTTGAGGCGCTCCATGGCCTGGAAGAACCCCCATGAACCAGTCCTTCCCCTTCCCCTGGTTTTACCCTTGCTCCACAAGCAACTCTGAAATTTAAGGTAATGCCCAACATTTCAAAGGGACGGCGACAGCGACTAGGGACAAACGAGGGGGAGCTGTGGTGAGGGCAGATCTGTGACGGTTCCTTACACCCGAGTCGCTGCCTCTAGCCTCTCAGCGCGCCGCTTCTGGGATGGAGCCCGGGCCGGAGGGGTGGGGGGGCAGCCGCGGCTGCACCCAGCCTGAGGGCTCCGGGCCGGGGAGGGGAGAGGAGAAGGGAGGGAGGGAGGGATCCCCCCGTGCCTCGGTTGAACGGTCCGCACCTTTGCGGACAGGGATGCCCCAGGGCGAAGGACCTGGCCGGGGGCGCGCGGTGGGGCCCACCCAGGGCCCAGCTGGGAGGGGACGAGGA